GTCTTTCATATGCGATGTCCTCTGTCTCTGCACTACTCAAGGTGAATACTAGGTTCAGTCTCTCTTGTTCATCCTATCCTCTCGTCTCTGGTAGTGTCCCTTATGTGTTGGTTCATGAGGTTTTCCAGTACCACCTCAATCATCATAGCTCTCTACGTTTCTTTGCCCCCACGTGGCTCCAAGTTCTCCCAGTCGATTTCCTTGTGGTTGAAGTCACCCATAATCAGCAGCTTTGCCCTGCTTGCATGAGCCCTTCTGGCCACTTCAGCCAGTGTGTCAACTATCACTCTATTACTCTCATTATACCGTTGCCTTAGCCTCCTGTTGTTCTGTGGTGTGTTATACATCACTGCAATTACCACCTTGGGACCTCCAGACTGAAGCATTCCTATTACGTAATCTCTTGCTTCTCCTCTGTCTCTGCTATCCAGTTCATCAAAATCCCATCAGTTTTTGATGAAAAGTGCCACTTCTCCACCCTCTCTGTTCCCTCTGTCTTTCCTCAGGATCTGATATCTTGTTGAAAAGATGGCATCTGTTATCATCCCCGTGAGCTTGGTTTCTGTGAGAGCTTTGATGTCCAGTGATGCTCTGAGTTTTTCGTGCCGCTTCTCTCACTTATTCGTTATTTCCTGAGTGTTGGTACACCAAGCCTTCAGCTTCTTCTCCTACACTGTTTTGAGGGGTCTGTGAGGGTGGGGACACATGGCAGTGTGCTGTGGTATTCTACAGCTTAGTGTGGGGTGGGGCCTGTGGGTATGGATTGTGGTTTGTGTTGGGATAGCATGTTTGGTTTGGGGTTCCGGGGGTCGTTCTGTGTGTGCTTGCGCTTGTTGCTCTGCCTTGCTCCGGTTGTGCGAGGGTGTGTTTGGAGTGTGTGCAAGTGTTTCGAGTGTGCGCGTGCAGGTGTTCGCGAGTGTGTGCGCAAATGTGTGCACGAGGGTGTGCACAACTTTGTGTGTGTACTCACCTAGTTATGGTTGCAGGGGTCGAGTCATAGCTCCTGGCCCCGCCTCTTCACTGGCCGATACTGGGTCACTCTCCCTGCACCATTAGCTTTATCATACCTCTGCTTAAAGCTGTGAATGGATCCTGCCTCCACTACATCACATTCCAAACTATTCCACTTCCTGACTACTCTGTGACTGAAGAAATGCTTCCTAACATCCCTGTGATTCATCTATATCTTTAACTTCCAAATGTGTCCCCTTGTTATTGTGTCTCATCTCTGGAACATTCTGTCTCTGTCCACCTTGTCATTTCCTCTCAGTATTTTATGTCATTTTCATGTCCCCCCATCTCTCCTGTCCTCCAGTGTCGTCAGGTTGATTTCCCTTAACCTCTTCTCGTAGGAAATACCCCTTAGCTCTAGGACTAGTCTTGTTGCAAACCTTTGCACTTTTTCTAGTTTCTTTATGCGATTGGCTAGATGTGGGTTCCAAACTGGTGCCGCATACTCCAATATGGGTCTAATGTACACAGTGTACAGGATCCTGAACAATTCCTTATTAAGATGGCAGAATCTTGTTCTTAGGTTTGCTAGGTGCCCATATGCTGCAGCAGTTATTTGGTTGATGTGTGCCTCAGGAGATGTGCCTGTTGTTATACTTACCCCAAGATCTTTTTCCTTGAGTGAGGTTTGTAGTCTCTGGCCCTTGACTGTACTGTGTCTGCAGTCTACTTTGCCCTTCCCCAAACTTCATGACTTTGCACTTGGTAGGGTTGAACTGCACGAGCCAATTGCTGGACCAGGCCTGCAGCCTGGCCAGATCCCTTTGTAGTTCTGCATGGTCTTTGTCCATAACAAACAACAACAGTAACAATAACAGTAACAGCAGCAACAACAGTGACAACTACAATAACATCAGCAGCAGAAACAATAACATGAGCAACAGCAACAACAATAACAACAGCTTCACATCATCTGCATACAGGGACACTTCGGAGTCTATTCCTTCCATCGTGTCGTTCACACATACTAGAAATTCCACCAGTCCTAGGACTGACCCCTGTGGAACCCCACTTGTCACAGCCACCCACTCTGACACCTCGCCTCGTACCATGACTCGCTGCTGTCTTCCTGACAGGTATTCCCTGATCCATTGTAGTGCCTTCCCTGTTATCCCTGCCTGGTCCTCCAGTTTTTGCACTAATTTCTTGTGTGGAACTGTCACACACCTTCTTACAGTTCAAGAAAATGCAATCTACCCACCCCTCTCTCTCTTGCCTTACTGCTGTCACCCTGTCATAGAACTCCAGTAGGTTTGTCACGCAGGATTTCCCGTCACTGAAACTGTGTTGGCTGTTGTTGATAAGCTCATTTCTTTCTAGGTGTTCCACCACTCTTCTGATAATTGTCTGCATGACTTTGCATACTATACATGTCAGTGACATTGGTCTATAGTTTAGTGCTTCATGTCTGTCTCCTTTTTTAAAAATTGTGACTACATTTGCTGCCTTCCATAACTCGGGTCATCTCTCTGCTTCGATAGATATTTTGAATATTGTTGTTAGGGGTACACAGTGCCTGTGCACCCTCTCTCAGGACCCATGGAGAGATGTTATCCGGCCCCATCGCCTTTGAGGTTTCTGGCTCACTCAGCAGCCTTTTCACTTCTTCCTCGGTTGTATGTATTGTGTCCAACACTTGGTGGCGTGGTCCACCTCTTCGTCTTTCTGGAGTCCCTTCTGTCTCCTCTGTGAACACTTCCTTGAATCTCATGTTGAGTTCCTCACATACTTCTCGGTCGTTTCTTGTGATCTCTCCTCCTTCCTTCCTTCCTTAGCCTGATTATCTGGTCCTTGACTGTTGTTTTCCTACTGATGTGGCTGTACAACAGCTTTGGGTCAGATTTGGCTTTCACTGCTATATCATTCTCATATTGCCGTTGGGCCTCCCTTCTTACCTGTGCATATTCATTTCTTGCTCTACAACTGCTCTCCTTATTCTCCTGGGTCCTTTGCCTTCTATACTTCTTCCAGTCCCTATCATACTTGGTTTTGACCTCCCTGCTCCTTTGGGTGAACCATTGGCTCATCCTGGCTTTTTCATTATTCCTGTTACCCTTGGGTACAAACCTCTCCTCAGCTTCCTTGCATATTGTTGCCACGTATTCCATCATCTCGTGTACTGACTTAACTGCCAGTTTTCTGTCCCACTGAGCCCCTTCGAGGAAGTTTTTGATTCCCGCATAGTCGTGTCCCCTTGTAGTTTGGCTTCATTCGTCCGGCTCTTCCTGCTCCCCCCTCCACTTGTAACTATTGTGTATTAGAATCTTAAAACGACATGATCGCTGGCCCCATGGGGTCTTTCATGTGATGTCCTCAACATCCGCATTACTCAAGGTGAATACTAGGTCCAGTCTTGCTGGTTCATCCTTTCCTTTCTCTCTGGTAGTGTTTCTTACATGTTGGTATGTGGAGTTTTCCACTACCACTTCCGTTTCTTGGCCCCCATGTGGCTCCAAGTTCTCCCAATTGATTTCCTTGTGGTTGATGTCACCCTTGATCAGTAGCTTTGCCCTGCTTGCATAAGCCCTTCTTGCCGCTTCAGCCAGTGTGTCAATCGTCGCTCTGTTACTCTTGCCTTGGCCTCTTGCTGTTTTGTGGTCTGTTATACATCACTGCAATTACCACCTTGGGACTCCAGTCTGAAGCATTTCTACTATGTAATCCCATGCTTCTCCACTGTCTCCTCTCTCTCCAGCTCATCAAAATCCCATCGGTTTTTGACCAGCGGTGCCACTCCCCCACCCCCTCTGTTCCCTCTGTCTTTCCTCAGGATCTGATATCCTGTTGGAAAGATGGCATCTGTTATCATACCTGTGAGCTTGGTTTCTGTGAGAGCTATGATGTCCGGTGATGCCTCTTTGGCTTTTGTGCCACTCCTCCCACTTATTTGTTGTTCCATCAGCGTTGGTGTACCATACCTTCAGTTTCTTCGCCAATACTGTGTTTTGGGGGGTCTGTGAGGGTGGGGGACGTGGCAGTGTACTGTGTGATTCTATAACCGAGTCTTGGGTGGGAGCTCTGAGTGTGGGTTGTGGTATCTTTTAAAGACCATAACAAGACAAAGATCACGACAGCCAGGAAGATTACGGGGTGGGTATTGAAAGCTTTCAAAACAAGGGAAATAATGCCGATGGTGACACTTCTCAAATCGCTAGTGCTCCCTCACTTAGAATATTGCTCAGTGTTGACGGCCCTATTCAAAGCAGGTGAAATATCGGAGCTGGAACAAATACAGAGATCGTTTACGGCTCACATTGAGCCAGTAAAGCACCTAAACTACTGGGACCGCCTGCAAGCCTTAACATGTATCCATTGGAGCGGAGGAGAGAAAGATACATGATAATATATACCTGGAAAATACTCGAGCGCCTGGTCCCAAATCTGCACACTGCCATAACAACATACTGGAGTGAGAGGTATGGGAGGAAGTGTAAAATAAACCCAGTGAGGAGCAGGGGAGCGGTGGGGACAATAAGGGAACACTGTATCAACATCCGGGGTCCCAGACTATTCAACATCTTACCAGAAGATATCAGAAACATGGCTGGAACAAGTGTAGAAGCCTTCAAGAGGAAACTGGACAAGTATCATCACCAGGTGCCAGATCAACCAGGCTGTGATGGATATGTGGGGCAGCGGGCCTCCAGCAGCAGCAACAGCCTCGTTGACCAGGCAAGCACCAGACGAGCCTGGCTCATGGCTGGTTTCAGAGAGTAGACTAACTCTTGAAACTCTTCAAAGGTATATCAAAGGCATCAAAGGAATGGGAGAAATTGTGGAGGTCTGCAATTGAAATTCATAATTTCTCTGCATTTCCATTATCCTTCTGTCTTTGCTTTTCTGCATATGGAATAGTGTTAAATGTGATTTAATTTGTAATTTTTAGTTGCAAATTTTTATTTTTTATTAAAAGCTGAAAAAAAATGTCATTGTTTACCTGCAGAATACGTTTGCAGTAAGTGTGTATTTAACGATTTTTTCTTTTTCAG